CTGCGTCTTGGGCTTAAAGTTAAGAAGTTAGATGAGCCCATTGTAAGTAAGTTGGCGAATAGTAGTGAAACTGTCATGGATCGATACATCGAGGGAGTACAAGTATACTTTCGGCTAGAGGCAGAGGGGAAGGTGGAACGCGTTCTCCACTCTCTAACCTTCTTGGTGGAGGATAACTTGCCCTTTGATGTGTTGCTGGGAATGGATTGGGGTGAGGCTGCACATGCGGATCTAAAGTTAAGGGAACATGAATGTTGGCTCCCAAGTCCGCAAGGAGGTAAGAAAAAAATTCGCCTCTACCATGAATCAGGAAAAGAAAGCAGCCTAGCTCACTGTTGTATGAGTGCCCTAGCGTTCGCTCGCCATGTTAAGAAACATAACTTGTATGACCAAGTCTTTGTTGCATATGTGCGCCCAGTAAAGGAAGGAGAAACAAAGGAAGAAGTCAGGTCCCAAGAGATTGAGAGGATCCTGAAAGAGTTCGCAAATGTGGCTGAAGCCCCAAGCAGTGTGGTGGAAAGACCAATCCGCCACCGGATTGATATCATTCCAGGGAGCGCCCCCCCGAAGGGGCCTATCTATCGTATGTCGCCCCAAGAATTGGATGAACTGCGAACCCAACTCGATGAGTTGTTGAAAAATGGTTGGATAAGACCTAGCTCCTCACCCTATGGTGCGCCTGTGCTCTTTGTGCCTAAAAAGGACGGCGGCGTTCGCATGTGTATAGATTATAGGAGATTAAATGACATCACCATAAAGAATGCTGAACCATTACCGCGAATAGACGATTTACTGGATCGCGTGCAGGGAAGCAAAGTGTTCTCAAAGATTGATCTAAAATCCGGCTACCATCAAATTGAGGTTGAGCCGGAAGACCAACATAAGACTGCCTTCAGGACGAGGTATGGGCATTACGAATTCGTAGTTCTGCCCTTTGGTCTCATAAATGCCCCTGCCACTTTCCAAAGAACAATGAACGAACTCTTTCGTGAATGGCTCGATAAATTTGTTGTGATTTATTTAGACGATATTTTGATTTTCAGCAAAGATGAAAAGGAGCATGCTGAGCACCTTCGACTTGTGCTAAATAAATTGAGAGAAGCCAAACTCAAGTTAAACCCAAAGAAGTGTGAATGGGCTAAGCGTCAGGTTCTATACCTAAAACATGTGATTGATGGAGATGGGGTCAAACCGGAAGATGCCAAAATAGCAGCAATCAGAGATTGGCCGAACCCCCGCACCTTGACTTAGTTGCGGTCGTTCCTTGGGTTAGCCAACTACTATCGAAAGTTCGTAAGACACTTTACGATAATAGCTGCTCCCCTTCGCCGATTGCTTAAGAAAGAAGTAATTTGGAAGTGGGATTCAGACTGCACTATGTCATTCAAGCGTCTGAAAAAGTGTTTGATCAACTACCCGGTTTTGAAAGTGGCGGACCCTTCCTTGACTTTCGTGGTCACAACCGACGCTAGTCAATATGGTATAGGTGTTGTACTCCAGCAAGATGATGGGCATGGATACAAGCCTGTAGAGTTTATGTCTTGCCGCTTACCTAACGAGAAGGTGGCCGCTTCAACGTATGAACGAGAGTTGTACGCTTTGCGTGAGGCTCTCAATCATTGGCGACACTACCTTCTAGGAAGGCATTTTAAAGTATACTCTGACTATGAAACACTTCGCTGGCTCAAAACGCAAGCTCGAATGACACCTAAGTTGACAAGGTGGGCTGCAAAAATTGATATGTTTGACTTTGAGTTGAAGCCAGTCAATGGTAAGTATAACGTTGTTGCTGATGCACTAAGTCGTAGATCAGACTTTTTCGGTGCTATTGTGACTTATCTAGATGTAGGTACAGACCTACAAGAAAATATTAGAAATGCGTATCCCTCTGCTCCTTTTTTTTGGAGCCATGATTAAGCTAGTGCAAGAAAAGCCAGCAGAGTTTCCCAATCATAAAGTAACTCAGGGTCTATTGTTTGAACGAACTGATGTAAATGATAGGCTATGTATACCCAATAATGAAGAGGTCAAAAGTGTGATCTTGGGGGAATGCCATGATACCGAAGGCCATTTTGGGTGGAAGAAGACCTACGGAACTTTGTTGCGTTCCTACACCTGGCCTCGAATGAAGGCAGACTATATCGCGTGTGTGCAAGGTTGTCAAGTGTGCCAACGAAACAAGAGCACTACGCAATCACCCCTTGGGCTACTTAAGCCCTTGCCTATCCCTACAGGCCCTGGAGACTCTGTCTCTATAGATCTCATGGATACTAAAGTCAAAAGCAGAAATGGGAAGACGCAAGTAATGGTCATAGTGGATAGATTCACTAAGTATGCTGTTTTTGTAGCTTTGCCTTCGGAAGCGAAGATTGATTTAGTGATTCGCGAATTCTTTAATCATTGGGTAAAAGACTTTGGACATCCCTTAACTATTGTAAGTGACAGAGATACCAGGTTCACAAGTGAACAATGGCAGCAACTGATGAATGTATATGGCTCTAAGTTGACTATGTCATCAGGCAGACATCATGAAACTAATGGCCAGACTGAGCAGATGAACAAGATATTGCAGCAAACTCTGCGCATGTACATTCGTCCCGATCAGATTGACTGGGATGAACATCTGCC